GAAGGAGAAACATTCCTGAATAAAGTTTTCAGTGTTGTACATTACTCTCTGTTTGGGAAGCTTCAGCCAGTGGTGGTGAAGGTAGTTGAAGACCAGGGATCTGTATTGAAACCTCACCTGGGCATGAAGCTGATTGTGAAAACCCTTTGGGGAAGGGAGGAATGGTTGGTTTGGTCAAACGAGAATTGGCTATCTGTTGTGGAGAAGCAAGACTAGGGCGAGAGCTTGGATTGGGCTCCTGCACTTCTGGCACAGCATGCTCACTCGAAGGTTCATTGTTGACAACTGTTTCCTTCTGTTTTGTGGGTGTTTCTGTGGCATTAACATGAAGATGGTGTAGCTCTTGGTATTCAGACCCAGACTGTGATTAGACAAAAGATACCAAAAATGGTTCAGGCAATTGACCATTATCTACATTATAGATTGTGTTAACTTATTTCATGAAATGTTCAAGACAGTTGATTCTGCTCTCTAGATGCAACAGAGGGAGACCTCTCCAGCTGTACTTCCTCACAGGTAGAACTTAATTATTGTCAGTCTTGCTAGGAGGATGGATAGGAAACATGTCCAATTCTACTTTGTTGTATGGATATATTAAAAAAATATCTTGCAAATCTGAAGGTACAAATCACCCATCTCCTTTACAGCCCAAGAAACTAGGGAGGGTAACTTCTGAACTTCTTTCTCCATCCATTATGCAGCTGCTGGCTATCTGTCCTAGTGGTTAATGTGCAGAATTGCAGGGAAATTCTGCCCACAGTCTGGAATTTGATGCTGATAGGGCTTAAGGTTGATTCAGCCTTCAATCTTTTGGAGGTCGGTAAAATGAGGACCCAGATTGTTGGGGGCAATATGCAAATAATGTTTACATTATAAAGAGAGTGCTATAAAGCAGGGGTCCCCAACCACCAGTCCATGGATCACTTTGCACCGGGCCGCAAAGAAAATAAAAATAAAATAAAAATGGCGGCTTTCTTCGCCTTCGGTGAATGCTGCTGGGATCAGGGATCAAGGACACAAATGAAAGAAGGGGAGGGAGGAAGTAACCAAAGCCTGTCCTGCTCTCTGGCTCAGCGGCTTCGGTTTCCTCCCGCCTCGTTCCTCTCTCAGTCGCTCTCTCGCTCCTCCACCAGCCCAGGAAGAAACTGCTTCAAAGAAGCCCGCAGGGTGGCTTTTCCTGTCGGCGCAGCTCCCCCGAAGCGCCCGTTCACCCCCAGCCCGCCGCCAATCAATCCAGGTTCAATCCAGTGCTCCGTTCTGCCTGCCTGCCTGCCTTCGTTTGTTTCGGAGCAGCTTCGGCTGAGAATAATAACTATTCGCCTCTTTTACTCAGCCGAAGCTGCTCCGAAACAAACGAAGGCAGGCAGAACGGAGCACTGGATTGAACGGCGGGGCAGGGCGGGGGTGAACGGGCGCTTCGGAGGAGCTGCGCTCCGAAACCACCAGAAACGAAGGCAGGCAGGCAGAACGGAGCACTGGATTGAACCGTGGGTGGCGGGGTGGGGGTGAACGGGCGCTTCGGAAGAGCTGCGCTGACAGGAAAAGCCATCCTGCAGGCTACTTTGAAGCAGTTTCTTCCTGGGCTGGTGGAGGAGCGAGAGAGCGACTGAGAGAGGAACGAGGCAGACACCTGAGGGATGAGGCTGAGGGAGGGAGGGAGACACCTGAGGGATGGGGCTGATGAAGGCAGGGCCGAGAGGGGCTTCTCAGCCATCCTGCAGGGACTATCTGTCGCTCAGGGTTGCAATGAGGAGGCATTGGCGCTCCCTGAACTTGGTGATTTGCTGGCAGACGTTTTATTACCCGACTAGGTAACAACATCAGATGTTACCTAGTCAGATAATGAAACGTCTGCAAGCAAACCACCAAACTCGGACTCCCCCCCCCGGTCCTTGAAAAAGTGTTTCTGCGTGAAACTGGTCCCTGGCACAAAAAAGGTTGGGGACCACTGCTATAAAGAACTATGGGACAATATATAAGCCTTACATGCTATTGCCATTGCTCTCTTTGTGCCATCTCTTTCCACATACATTTACAATTACCTGTCAACTTCTTTCTCTGCTTATTTGTGAGATGGATGTCATTCGATTGTTGCTAATTATTTCATTGTATTACTGTATTTTAAATTTTATAAACTTCCAGAGGCTTTAGGCAGAATTTTAAGGTCAAAATATAATAAAGATCATTATTAAAATAATGGCATCTCATAAAAATCTTATAAGCAGATTTTCATCTGCCTGCTTAATCAAGTCAGGTCTTAAGTAGTGATTTATTGAGTTATTATTTAACTGAGAAATCTGTTGGTTTGCTGGGTGAAGTCCAGTCAATGTGTTTTAAAATATAAACTATGCTTAACAACACAGGAATACATATTTTCTGCAGATGATAGCTGTCTTAGGAACTTACCGGATGTGGAAAGAGTTCACAATTTGCAGTGACAATGTTGGCACCTACATTCCAGGTTTCTATCATAGAGCCTTTGCATAGGCCTCTCACCTAGAACAAAGGAGAAAGTTTTCATCAACAAAATCCAAGAAATTTAACCTGCCATGATTTCTAATATGCAGTGGGATAGCACTGGATATGGTTGATCAGATGTTCTGTATCAAAAGACCTTCTCCATTTCTCCCGGTGGTTGACATGCCATTTCTCACCAGAATGACCATTTCTGTTGTCCCATTAAGAGGGGATGGAGCCTCCATGGGAAAGCTGAATTCTTCTGCTATGCTTTTTAGAATTTTAAAATCTTTCTTAGCATAGTAATCAAACCATTCTATGGATTTATTGAAATTGATTTTCTAGAATAGGAAATGCATTTTGGTGTTCCAGATATTAATTTTGGTATTTTAGTAATTATATTGCTATAATGATATACTCTTTGATCGTTGTAGAATTCTCCTGCAAAATTTTAGAAATTGATAATTAACTTTAGGGTTCATGGGTTTGGCTTGGAAAATAACGAATTACTATGTCTGAATTCAGATACAAACTAACTGAAACAGACTTCTTCCTTCACTTGTTAAGTGCTTATTTAAGGTTGGAGAGCCAATTTTTTGGAATGATAAGATTATTCCAGCTAGGAACCGAGTTTGTTTGGAGCAGAATACCACCAATGCCCATTCCAACACGACTCTAATCCTGCTCTCCATTTCTAGAAGGGTGACATATATCCTTCAGTTGAATGGTAAAAATAATGGTCTGAAAGTAGGTTTAAATATTAGCCTCTTTGGTGACTTCAATGTGCTTCATTATTTATTTGTTTATTAAATTTATATGCCGCCCATCTTAGTGTCCTGAGTGACTGTGATGGCTTACAATAGAATAAAAATATAGGAATAAAACATTAAACCTCCATTGCCCTCATATTTATTCTTTCTATGTTTTGATAGATTTATTATAGCTAATATGAGCATTTGCCTCCCAGTTATTCTTCATTTGCTAACTTGCTAAACACATTGATGAATAAAAGAACTAAACAAGAAACTACTCAAGGAGAGAAGCAACCTAGAACTAAGGAGAAATTTCCTGACAATTAGAATAATTAATCAGTACAACATTTTTTTCCAGAAATTATGGGTGCTGCATCACAGGAGGTTTTTAAGAAGAGTTTGGACAATAATTTGTCTGAAATAGTAGTAGTTTCCTGCTTGAGCAGTGGACTAGAAGACATCTTCCAACTCTGTCGTTCTGTTCTGATAAGAGCAGTGTAAAATTTGGTTCTTTAGAAGATATGTATTGAACCACAATTTCAATCTAGGTTTTATGCAAGATTGTGAATACTTACTGCAGTTTCAATAGGGAGGAGAGAGCATTGAGTGATGTCAGACACAGGTGGTCTTTTAGGACAGGAGGTCTCCTGGATGGTGAATTCTATAGCGTGCAACATTCCATTAACCACCTATAGAAAGTCATAAACATTTAGAGTAGGTCACATTGTCTTCAGGAAATGGTCCCCATAATCTTGGGTGCCCTATCAATCTTTATTCACCTGAAGTCTTACAGAGTCCCCATAATTCTTAGCACTAGGAGGACTGATAGGATGTCAAATGTGGTTATCAAGAAGAGGACACAAATACATTCAGTAATCAAATTGAATGTAATATTGTAGAAAGATCAGAGTCCCATCTATGTGGGAAATTGGAAGTTCCCAGGGAAGTCCTCTGGCAGATTAACATTTTCTTTAACCTCAGATTTCTACAGACTTTGGGAATCTGTCTATTCACTTCCTTTGGCAATAATGTAGAAATCAATTGCCCTCTCTTGGAATTATTTCTATTATTTTTCATTTCTACATTTCGCAGAAACCCTGGGTTTCTGTAGCAGTCTCTATAAAAATCAAGGATACAGCGTCAACTTTCTTGCTCAAAAAATACTCCACCTCAACTTTACCTGTGAACTTGCTTTGGTGACCTCAAGAATGGCAAAATAACGATCGTGGTCATTTTCAGCATTGAATTTGGCTAGGCTTTTTCTTGCTATTTCCTGAAATCTGTCTTCAGAAGCACTTTGGCGAACTGGACAGCCAGGGCAGGGAGGACTGGAATCTTTGGGGGAGGGGGGGAAAGTATTATTTAAAAAGTTGAGACAAGGCATTTGAAATATGAGCGTGTATGTTTAAATGACAAATGAAAGCTGAAAGCTTCTATCAGCTTGAAAATTAAGCATCTCTCACCAAGCTATATTTAGTCAGGGTCACAGTTGTTTAGCAACCTTGACACAACAGTACAGAACCAGTGGAGCCTGTCTTTGGGAAGGGTACAGATCTGAAGGCAGGAACCAACAGAAGATAGTATCTGTAGCATTGGACTGTGGAGTCCTTGGTGCTCTCTCAACTTGGTGGCTTCGCTTGTAAATGGTTTGTTACATAAGACTGTCTCTGCCTCCTTGTGCCAATCAGCATCAGGCCAGAATCTCCAAGAGCAGCCTCAGTTCAGATTCTTTTTCCCTTCTGCTTAATTGTGTCTGATTCCTGGAGACTTCCTGGATAAGCCCTGGCAATTTCTTGTTTTTCAGAAGTGGCTTCCCATTATCTCCTTCCTAGGGCTGAGAGAAAGTGACTGATCCAAGGCCACTATTGGCTTCATGGACAAGGTGGAACTAGAATTCTCATTCTCCCAGTTTCTAGCTGGATGATATAGCCACCCCAGAAACTGGCTATCCATCTGGAATACTTTTTTCTCTTATGATAGAATGAGATTCTGGAACATAATATCATTTGATAATGAATATGCCAAAACTGAAGTAACTTTTATTCTATGATCAATTAACACCTGATGAAGGAGATGCCTCTTTATCTAAAGTCGCAACAACTTCTAGTTTACACAATTCACTTTCTCGCTGACAAAGTCATGTTGGTAAAACTTGAATCAGGTATTAATTGCTAAGGTTCTCATGTACTGAATTGCAAATGAATCAAAGCAGGTTGTTTTGCAAAACAGACTGAGACATAATCAAATCAGCATTTTTAAAAAACCTAATTAAGAAACTAGAGTATGTAGTAGTTGCTTAGCAATTTCTGCTAATTTCTCAAAGTTCATGCTTCTTCCAAACATTTGTACTCATAAATTTATTATGGAAGGTCGATTTTAGAAAGTTACAATATGACACAAGAAAGAATAATCTATAGTGAGAAATAACTTGTCAAAGTTAATGTACTTTTCAACAACGGCCCTTGTTAAGTTTTAGAAAATAATATCTTATACTAAGAAAAAAGGCTGGTAGAAAGTGCACACAGAAAAAAGTGTGCGAAAAATGCATAATTTTGCAACAAAAATATATAGAAAAGGAAATTGGGCCAAATCGTATTTGTGGTTGAGAAAGGGTTGAGGGTATTTGTGGTTGAGAATAAAATGAAATTACAGATGTAGCCTAAGATACCCACACGAATGAAACTGTAAAATTAAATTTTGGGGCTTCTGAATCTACTTTTTAAACTTCGTTGGGGATATCTGTAAAACTGCAATGGCAAGATATATATGCTTGGATAGATATTTTTTGCAAATCTACATGCAGCAAACATGGAAAATACATACGAGGTCGTAAAATGCAGTCATTTCTGTACATGAACGAATCATTTGAATGTTTGTTCAATTTAATTATTACTTTGCATTGGCCAAAGACCTAAAACAAGAGAAAGTAGCTTGTATTAGTGCCACCCATTTCTTCTACCAATGATTCCTCTTACACGTAATCAAAAGGTGTATCTTTTCCACATCTTAGGCTCAGAACCACTTTCCTTCCATAATGTTTACTACATATCTACAGCACTTACATTTCTTCCTGTGCTTTTGTACAATCGTCTTTTTTTTTTTTTTTTTTGCACTGCAAGAATGTATTAGGAGTTACTAGGAAATGCTCAGAGCCAGAAGACGTAATCTCTATGTCGCCTACGGTGACCTAAGCTTAGTATACAAAATTGTCTGCTACAACGTCCTACTTGTCAACGACTACTTCAGCTTCAACCACAATAACACATGGGGAAACGATAGATACAAACTAAAAGTAGCTTCAAACTTGATTGCAGAAAATACAACTTCAGCAGCAGAGTGGTCTATGCCTGTGAACTCACTACCTGACTCTGTTGTTACATCCTCAAACTCCCAAAATTTTAATCTTAAACTGTCTACCATGGACCTCATTCCATTCCTAAGAGGTCTGTAAGGGGGTGTGCATAAACGCACCAGCATGCTTACCATTCCTGTCCTACTGTTCCCATTTATTCATACTCATTTATTATGTATATACTTATACCTGTTTATATGTTATGTTTATATGTTATGTTCATACTTATACTTATTTTCTCATACTTGTTTTATTTGACAAACAAATAAAATAAATAAAAAATAAAAACCTCAATTCCACCTGATCTATTCCTTGCTTTAGGCCAAACTTGAAATGCCAAAGGCCAAAAGTACGCTCTCGAAAAATTAGTATTCTTTTAGGAGGCTTCAGAGAGATGGCAAAATGTCAGAAAAGGAGAAGAAGAATGCCCACGAGTCCTGAGATTAAAACCTTGAAGGTGATGTGAATGTTTTGTTTGACAAAGGACTGGGGAGGCGGGAGGGGGGCCACCCTTGGTACCAAAAGGGGGGTCATTAAGAAGCAGTCCAAGAACTGCTTCCTCTCCTTTCGGGGTGCAGGCATGGAAAAACCAGTTTAAGTTGCAGAATAAAATATTTTGGAGAACCTTTTGCAGGTGTAAGAGCTGTGGGGCAGTGGGACTGGCCTGCCAAGAGAAATTATGAGTTGTTTTTTGAGTTCCTGCAGTGAGTTGGCGTTGGACCCCTTCGTCTCCCTCCCTTTCCACGCTATGATTCATATGTACAATGCTATTGATTTGAAATGGCAACCAAGTGCAGGGAACTATCATGAACCCAAAGATGCCAAGGGAGAAGCAGTGAAAATGTTCTGAAATGAGATGTTTGTTGCCACATGGCAAATGGGTGAGTGACTCCCTCTGCCTCTTTTGCAAACAAGTTTCAAACCCAGATTTAACTTCTTTCCAAAACCTGCTGATAGTTCTTTAAATAAGGAGACACATTACTTACAGTCTCGTATGGTTTTCTAAACTCGCACTCTTTCCACAGTTTCTTACTCAAGACATGGCATTTGGTTTCCAACACATCCAGAATGAGGAAGAAAACAGAATCACCATCCTGCTACGGACAAAAGAAACTCTTGAAAAGGCAAGGCTTAAAGTGAATTACTTTCAGTACATTAGATGAAAATAAAGTAGCCTTCAAATAAAGCCAGGAGGTTTTACGCCAGACAGTTTGTTACATGCGGCAAAACATTAATTTTAATCCAAGCAAGGGTGAATATCTATTATCATGAAACCTGATCTCAAATGATTACCGTAGAATGTCTTGGACAGATATTACAGATATTAGGGTAGAAATGACCAGGGATAACGAGATCTCTCACAGAATATATATTAGTTGTTTGACTCAGTCCAATGGTAAAGCTGGACTGACTTCGAGTATGTCTTTTTATTAGGGCTACCAAATAAAATTAGGCTATTTCTCTTGGGTGCCATCAAGTGATTTTATAGATCCCCCCTCCCCCGCTCACATGCATTAGTGCTACCATGATTGGACACCAGAATGGCTGGTGCTAAATGCAAGGAAAGGAAAAAGGCAATAGAAGGGGGAGATCTTACCTGAGATATTTCATAGGCATCAAAAATGCGTTGCAGGCCAAAAATGTAACCTTCCGTCCGATATTTATTGTGTTTGTTGAGGGCTACTTCTGCAGCAGTCTTTACCTCCAAAGAGTTGCATGATGGGTGAAGAAACTGAGTAAGTGGAACAGAAGCCACTGCATGAAACAGCTGTATCCCAATTAAGAATGAAATTAAAAGGGCCATTTTAGAAATTTTTGCAGAATCAGAGAAGAGAGCAACTACAACTAGAGAGCAAGGTTCTGACAGAGCTTTTATACTTTGGAATCAATAGCTAATATTTGTTCTTCTACTGCATGGTGTTCCTTACCTTTGAACTTCAATCTGTGAGGCAATGATTGTATAGTATTTAGCTTGGCAATGGAATGTTCATCTAAGGTTCATCTAATTTCATCTTATTTCATTCTTCAACAAAGTTACTCAATTAGTAGACCAGCAAAATAATGTGGACATAATATATTTAGATTTCAGCAAGGCATTCGACAAAGTAGACTACAACCTACTTCTTAGTAACCTAGAAAAAAGTGGAATAGATAGTACCACCACTAGATGGACTCGCAACTGGCTGGCAAACCGTACTCAACGAGTAGTCCTTAACGGGTCTAAGTCTACATGGAGGGAAGTAAGCAGTGGAGTGCCACAAGGTTCTTCCATCTTAGGCCCAGTACTCTTCAATATCTTCATTAACGACTTAGATGAGGGAATAGAAGGGGAACTTACCAAATTTGCAGATGATACTAAGCTGACAGGAATAGCAAACACCCAAGAAGATAGGCTCAAAATCAGAGGTGCTATTCAACCGGTTCGCACCTATTCGGGAGAACCGGTAGCGGTGATTTGGTGTGGGTTGCAGAACTGGTGGTGACCTCTGGCTGGCCACACCCCCGAACCGGGTCGCCCCGTCACCTGGTTGCCCGCTTGTCCCAGTTGCTCTCCTAGCTTTCCATACCACGTGGTGGCCATGGGGCAGCTCGGGTGGATGTGTGCATGTGCAGCAGCCCCAGGACATCTGCCTGCCTGCCCACCCTCCCGGAGCACATTTTCTTCCTTCTCCCGGCGGCGGACGCATCTCTTCCAGCCCAGGCCAGCCCGGCCCGGCCAGCAAGCAGGTGGGTGGGCGGATATCCCGGGGCTTCTCTCCCCCCTTGTCGCCAAAGCCTGCAGCAGTAGGCCCTCGGCCAGCTTAGCTGGGAGCCACCATTCCCAGGTTTAGCGGCTGGTCCTGCCCCTCACCCTCCCCACTCTTGCCTGGCCTGAGAAGGTAAGGGCAACAGCAGGGGATAGCGAAGTGGCTGGGTCCCTATCTTCCCCTCTCTCCCCCCCACTCTCTGTGTCTATGTGTGTGTGCCGGTCGTGAGTTGAGGAGAAGGGTCACCTGAAGGGACTGGCTGAACAAGGATCACCAGCTGTGCTGGAAGCATCTCATCGATTTCCATTTAACATCGCCGTTGCCTCCAGCTCCAGCCATGCAGAGGCAGACGCAAGTTTGAGCTTGCCATTCCCACCTACCCACCCCCGTCCGCGTGTGTTGACCCTATCCCCCCAATGAGGGAGAAGACTGCGTTTTTGCTTCAGCCCCATTGCAGAATTTCGTTTCCACCGCCTCCTTGGCGGCAGCTGATCGTGGGACCTCTATCTCCTCAAGTGCCAGCCTCGGTGTTACTCACTGAAAGTGGGGGGGAAAAACACACACACAGAGCTGAACCAGCAGCAGAGTAGTAGCAGCTGCGGTGGTTTCACCCCGCCCCCAGCCATCAGCCACCCCGAGCTAAAGAAGCTGGCTGCATCGGGGGAGTCGACCAGCTGAGCATGCAAAACAAGGCACCTCAGACTGCCCACAGTTCTCCTTCCTCCTCTCCCTCATCCTCTTTGAGGGGCTTCCACCCACCACTCTTGCTCTGTGCATGGGTTTGGCTGCTGCCTTCACCTCAGTGATTCCATTCAGCACTCACCCCCTCTCAGCCCTCCACCCTCCCCACACCTGCTCAATCCTCCACCCCACCTCAAGTCATGAAAGAGATGAGCGAAGGAAAAGGAGGTGGGACTGATGCTGCAGAAGACGCCACCCGCGAAGGCAGAAAAAGGCCTGGGAAGAATGGAAAGAGCTTTCGCGCACACTCTCTTCTGAGCCTTACCGCCCGCAAATCCCCCCTCCTCACCTCTTCTCCTTCCCCCAGCCCTGCCAGTGTAGTCTGCAAATCCCCCCACCTCCACTCCATGCTGCAAATCTCGACAGCAGCATATTGCAAAGCTCAACCTCTCTCTCTCTCCCTCCCCCATCACCCCGCCACACCGAACGCCATCGCTCGCCATGCTCCAGCAGAAAGCAAGTCAATGCAGCTTTCCTCCTTCTTCAGGTTGGGGGGGGGGCTTCCACTCAGGTGGTTCGTGCCCTGTGGAAGCTCCTCTGTTCACCGCCGTCCCTTGAAAGTAGCAAAGAGCGCTTGGCCCAGCTGCGGCTTAGAGAGAGAGAGAGAGAGGGAGAGAGAGACTGACACAGTGAGAGAGAGAGACAGAGAGAGAGAGAGAGAGAGAGAGTAGGGAAGAGAGAGGGGAAGATAATGAGAGGGCCAGAGAGAGAGTGAGACAGAGATACATGGGGGGGAGATACCCATAGAGAGAGAGACACAGAGAGGGTGGGAGGAGAGAAAGAGAGAAAGAGAGAGAAAAAGAGAGGGAAAGAGAAAAAGGGAATGAGAGAGGAAGGGAGAGAGACAAGAAAGAAAAGAAAGAAAAAAGAGAAAGACAGAAAAAAGAGAAAGGAATCAAAAGGAAGAAAAGGGATAGACAAAGAAAGGGACAGATGGAAGGAAGGGACAAAGAAAGAAAAAGAAAGAAAGAGAGGGAGGGAGGAGACTATGAATGAGATATATGGATGGGTAGATAAATACATGGAAGGAGGGAGGGAGGGAGAGAGAGAAAAAAAAAGGAGAGGAAGGAAAGACGCAAACCCTGGCTTCAGAAGACTCTTTCAAGCACACAGCAATCTAGGGCTGGCCTGCAAGGGATCTTGGGGATCATCTAGTCCAAACACCTCCTCCAGCAGGATATCCTTACAGAATCATAGAATAGCGGAGTTAGAAGTAAGTGTGTGTGTGTGTGTGTGTGTGTGTCTGTCTGTCTGTCTGTCAAAACTCCAAAACAGGTCAAGTAGCTCTGGGGAGATCAGTCATAAATTAGAACACCTGCTAAGCAACCGGCCATGAAGCAAGGACCACTTGTATTTGGTTTGCTGGTTGCCTTGCCACGCCTACCCACATGGCCACAAAGACATGCCCACCCAGTCACATGGCCACAAACCCATGCCCTTCTGGTCATGTGACCAAGCCATGTCCACACAGTCACATGACCACCAAGCCACACCCACAAATTAAGCCATGCTCACAACCGGTAGTAAAAAAATTTGAATACCACCACTGCTCAAGATCCAGATGGATCTTGACAGACTCGACAACTGGGCCATATCTAACAAAATGAAATTCAATGTAGAGAAAAGTAAAGTCCTACACTTAGGCAAGAAAAACCAAAAGTACACATATAGACTGGGTGAAACCAGGCTCAACAGCAGTAACTGTGAGCCAGCAGTGTGCATCAGCAGCCAAAAAAGCTAATGCAATCCTAAATTGTATTAACAGAGGTCAAGATCAAGGGAAGTACTAATACCACTCTATAAAGCCTTAGTAAGACCACACCTAGAGTACTGCATCCAGTTTTGTTCACCACATTATGAAAAAGATGTTGAGACTCTAGAAAAAGTACAAAGAAGAGCAACCAGGATGATTAGGGGACTGGAGGCTAAAACATACAACGAACGGTTGCAGGAACTGGGCTTGGCTAGTCTAGTATAGAGAAGGACCAGGGGAGACATGATAGTGGTCTTCCAATATTTGAGGGGCTGCCAAAGGGAGGAAGGGGTCAAGCTATTTTCTAAAGTTCCTGTAGGCCAGAATAATGGATGAAACTGAACAAAGAGAGATTTAACTTGGAAATAAGGAGAAACTTTCTGACAGTGAGAACAATCAACCAATGGAACAGCTTGCCCTCGGAAGTTGTGGGAGCGCCATCACTTGAGACTTTCAAGAAGAGATTGGACTGCCATTTGTCAGAAATGGTGTAGGGTCTCCTGCTTGAGCAGGGGGTTGGACTAGATGACCTTCAAGATCCCTTCCAACTCTGATTATCTGTTAAATCTGTTAATGTTTTTGGATTTAAATGCGTTTCACTGCAGAAAAAGACCTCCCTCTCTTCAATTCTTCTGTAAAAGTAGACATTCATATACCTAAATGGATGTATTTTGATTTAATCAATATTCTTTTTAATTTAAATGTATTGACTGCCTTACTCAAGTGGACTCTGGATGAGGTTCCCAGGCTGGCCATAAATACTAGCAAAATATGGAAAGAGCTGAAGTATGCTTATAAATTATAGGTATGACCAGCACATATTTTTGATACTGTGCATATTATTAGCAATAAAATGGCATTGTGGTTGATCAGAAAATGGCTTATATGTTCACTGCAAAATGCCTGAGACTATGAGTGTGGCCAATCAGAAGACATCCATAGATTTGAAGGCATATTAGACATGTGTATTTCTCACTTCTCAATACCCAAATTCTGTATTTTCCAGATAACTAGCTTATCATGAACTAGAACAGTAGTTTGTGGTTCTGAATTGAGAGGCAATGGATGACTTTTGTTCTGCCATGATATCTCAGTTCAATCTATATTCAATGGAATTTGTCTCCGGTGCATAAGCTCACAGTATATATACAAGCAATAAGTGATAAATCATGATCCTAATCATAATACAACCATCATCATTTGGTGTGCTGTATGAGCGCACCCACTTGTATATTATTGCCATCTTTGGTCTTTGGAGAATGTCAAATTCTGCAAGGAGG